TGGAGGCCAACAGTTATCCCTTGGTAATAAAAAGGGGATTAACTGAGGCCTGAACCCAGCCTTTTGGCTGGACAAGGGTCAACCTAGAATCCAAGAGGGAATTTGAATCCGCACTACAGCAGGACACCCCCCATCCCTTTGTGCCAAAGGATTGGCAATATTCATGTAAATGGAAATGGATTCCAATAAAGTTTGGCCCGTGTTTAACCCATTCACCTGGTCTCGCGTGGTTATTCGGGATAAGTGGGCAATAGTGTCTTGAACTGGACACAGATTTCAGCTGATGTTCTAATGAAAGCAGAGCAATGTATTTTTATTGTTTCCTTTGATTTGGACACTGCATCTCTGTTAATGCTTCCAAGTATTGCATAAAGGTGCATAATTATACGGGTAACAGTTGCATCAAATTGGTGGCTTCTACCTAGTTTATGGTCTATCAAGATCCCTAGTTCCGTTCCACACATGCTACTGCCATGTCCATATCAAGCATCCTTGATAACTCAGTGGTTTAGCTATCTGACTGCAGAACCAGAGGTTTGCAGTTCGATTCCCCACTGTTCTTCCTTGACAGGCCCGGGATTTTGACAATCCATAGGGTCCCTTCCAATTCTGCAGAGCTAAGATGATGATGATGATCCTAACTAATTTTGTTTGTTTGGGCCCAGTTCTCTAATCTGTTGTTCAGCATAATAGTGTCCTCCATCTCAAAATGTATATATGATGGATGGATGTTTAGTACATTTCTTAGTTTATTTTACATGGACATTTCCTGGAGATAGCATTCTTGAGTCCAAATAACTCTCAGTTGCTTTCTGTCTTGAAAATGATGAAATATGTGACTTAGGATAAATAATTCAGAAAGGAACTGAAATGAAACCATCTCCCCGTTCAGCCAAATTCAAGGAACACAATATAATTGTTCCAAATGAGAAATCTCTTGAAAAGAGAGAGATGGCAATTAGCGTTCAATGCCACAATCATGGCCGAATATAGAGAAATTCAACATTAGACTTATGGGAAGCATTCAAAGCCCTAGGCTTGGATGGCAATTTCAGTTCCTCCCATATTTCTATGTTTTGAATCACAAGTTCTTTCCAACTGAATATGAAGACATGTTCAAGTTTTGCTAAATTCTGATTTTTAAAAAAAAAAAATTAAATAAATACTGGAATAACTCTAGAAAAACTATCTTAGTAAATGTTCTGAATTTTGCTTGTTTCTGAAAGTCCTTCTTAACCCCAACAAGAAAAAACATCCAGCTGTGAAAATACAATGGGGGTCTCAAAGGAGAAAAAAGGGGGGGGCAAAAGGAAGGAGTCAGCAGTGTAAATCTTCAGGTTTTTTTTCTTTTTAAAGGCACAAATAATTCATGTACTAAATGTAAAGAAGAAGGGATTGTGTGCTGTTTTCTGCCAAATCCTTAACTATTAAACAACTTCCAAAATCTGGCAAGTTCACTTTGTCTTTATGGTCTAATTCAGGCTTATTTGTATGAGGTCTAGAGGTGATTAAACTGATTTGTGTCCACAGCACAAATCAAATTAGACAGGTTAAAGATTTCTACTTCCTTTCCTTCTTCCCTTTTTTTTTAACTTAGAAAATACATAAGATGCGCTGGATGACTTAGTGGTTTAGGTCTCCGACTGCAGAGTCAGAGTTTAAGAGTTCAGTTTTCCTCTGTGCCTCCTTGACAGAGGCTGGATTTGATGATCTACAGGGTCCTTTCTGAAGATCTAAGATTGTTTTTATTATATTATTATCATTTCCTGACACACAGTTTAACAGGTTTAGTCTCTCTCTAGGATCTCTCATCTCTCTCTCTCTCTCTTTCTCATTCGCTCATAGACATTTTGGTTTTCCAAAGCCGGTCAATGGGAGTCTTACAAATGGACTCAGATCCAGGAACCCACACCACTCTGGACAGAACTAGGATCTACTTCAATTTGGTCCCTGAGATGAATTGGAGGCCCCATGCCCAGCTTATATGGAAACTCCCCAAGAACCAATAGGAAAATTCCTTAACTTTGAGCCTTTCGGAAGTTTCTATGGATTAGTGAACTGATTATGCAATACCATATAACATCCCCCCCTTTTTGTGTAAGGAACACAAGGGCAATAACTTATAAAGATCAAACTCATTTACGCCACAATGTCCTGAGGCTGCGTTAGCGTTAACACCCACACGTTCCAAACTATAAACCACATGCCTGATCTAAGCCCCCAGCTATTT